TAGCAATAGTGAGAGTAAATGGCCCTAGTAAACCTTCAATTTCAACGATAAGCACTGGTGCAGTTGTGTGTTTCCTTTTATAATGTTCCATGTGGCCCACTGGTGTTATTGTTGCTGTTAATCCTTCATTCTTGAGTGCTGCCCTACTAAGAAGGTATCCAGGGGAGCAACACTGGCGTGCCTGTGCCTCTCCCCTACCTTGCCATCTTGTGCAGAACAATTATATTTGAGATTGGCTCCACTATAGGGAGTCTTTTCACCAGGCCAAGTTTGTGATGTTATGGTAATTCAGATACAGCATGAGATGTATATTTGTGAAATCAAGCTAAGACAATCCTATACTTTGTGGAGCATGTTTGATAGACCCAGATGCCATACTGAAATGTACTGCATCCACAACCATCCTCCACATCTCAAAAGCAACATTTTCATCTATTCTCTCATCCTTTCTTCCTGTCTTAGAGGAAAAGGGGCTTTATCCTTGCAAAGGTTAACCCTATGCTCTTCCATTCTTTCTTATATTCATACTTTTACTGGGACTTTGCTCTTTCAGTCATCCCTTTCCTTTTTGTGTCTTTAATCTCTCCTATTCCATTAGTTCCTTCTCTACCAACAAATGTATTCCATTCTTCTATCCTAAAAATACCTACCCGAGTGTGATATTTCCCAAACTGCCAGCCCAACTTTCTTCTTTCCTTAACTGCTAAACTTCTTGAAAGAGTGGCCTACATTGACTACCTTACCACTTACTCATTTATTATTTTGCAATTTGGTTTCCATTTCCATAGAAACCACTCTCAAAGTTCACCACAGGGCTACTAATTGCCAAATACAATGCCTTTCTTCACTCTTCACCCTCCCTGACTTGTCTGTAGTATTTGAATTGTTAGCCACTTCTCCTTCAAACTCTCTTCTCCCGGCTTCCTTGACACTGTACTCTCCCAGTTTGCCTCTTCCCCGTCTGTCCTACTTCTCCATCTTCTCCCCATCCTTTAAATATCAGTATTGCCCAAGCTCTTCTTTGCCATAATTTTTTTCTCTGTCCACATTTTCTCCCCCGGTAATATTATCTACTCTCATAGCTTCAACTATTATTTTACTGGGATGACTGAAATCTACATTTTTAACTTATAAACTCCAGACCTTCATTTCCAATTATTCCCTGGACATTTCCACCCGACTGCTTATTCATTACCTCAAACTCACTTTAACTCATCATTTTCTGCTAAAAACATGTCCCTTAAGCAGACTTCCTCATCTCTGTTAAATGAGGTGCCACCATTCTGTCATGCATCCTGTTAGAAGTCTCACTTATCTTTCACTCTTCCCTTTTTGTGTCCCCCCATATAAAATCAGTACGTTATGCTACCAATTCTCTCTCCAAAATATTTCCCATCTACTCCTTACCTTCTACTCAAATAACTCATCAACCTCATCACTTCTGACTTGATTATTATAACTGTCCCTTACCTGGTTTATTTGCATCCATAATATCTGCCTCTTCAACATGTTCACACAACTGCCAAAATAGTCTTCCGCATGCACACATGTAACCATGTCATTGCCCTGCTAAAAATCTTAAGTGGCACCCACTAAAGGTGAAAATATATTCACCCACGTATTCTAATTCTAGTCAAACTGGATTATTAGCTGTTGCCTCATGTCCTGGCATTGCAGACATCTGGAATATACTATCGCTTCATCTTTTAATAAAACTTTTCTTTCAAGTTTCTGCTCAGGTGCCACTTACCTCATCAAGAGATTTGTTTCCCCTGATCCTACAGATAGGTAAAAGTTTCGTCTGTCTCCTAAGGTTTTGTAGAAGCATTTCGTCTAGATCTTTCCCTTGCCCTTTTTGCACTCTACCTTGTAGTTTATCTGTTTTTATTTCATGTCCATCATAATATTCTATGAACTCCTTGAGGGCAGGGATTGTTTTCTTCATCCATGTATCCTAAGTACTAAGTATAGTACTCTGCATATAGTGGACACTTAAGGTTTGTTGAATCAAATTGGAGAGACTGAAGGTAGACAGAACTAGTAGTGAGGTTATTGTAGTAATTCAGCAATGTGGATCTGTATTAAGTTGATGAGAAATGGATTGAAAGAAAGGAATTTAAGAGAGATTAAAGATGTCAAATGCCAGGCCTTGTGTCTGGGAGAGGGGGTGGGATAGGGAGGTAGGGATTATTGAGATTTGTTTAGTTGTTTTTCAGTCATGTCCAACTCTTCATGACCCCTTTTGGAGTTTTCTTGGCAAAGATACTGGAGTGGTTTGCCATTTTCTTCTTCTGTTCATTTTACAGATGAAGAAAATGATGCAAAGAATTAAGTGACCTGCCCAAAGTCACACAGTAAGTGTCTGAGGCTGGATTTTAACTCCAGTCTTCTTAATTCCAGGCCTGGTGCTCTATTCCTTATGCCACCTAGCTGCCCTTACAGAAGGATAGAAAGAAGTTAAACTGACACCAAGGTTTGGAACCTGAGCAATCAGGACGATGGTCATGACATTAACTACAGTAGCAAATTCAGAAGGATGATGTTTAATTAGTCATCAAGTTCCTCTGTCTTTGAAAGCACAGAGGAAGAAAGCCATTTCCTCTATAAAGAACCTTAGAAGTCCATCACATTATATGGAAACCTTAGATACTGAAAAGGATTTGTGATCTTTTCATTATGAATGTTCCCTCCAACAATGCAGATCCTAACCAATTCCATCTCTTCCCAGCTCATCCATGTGCTCTTGCATACTCTCCATAGGGATCCATTCCAATATTAAATGGAGAATGGTGGAGCACTTGGTTATCCCTGGGTTATTCATCTCTCTTGTTCCATGACTGACCTACTTCCTTCTGACATCCTATTACTTAGGAATTTCTTCATTTATGCTGGGAAATGATTTAGATTTCCTTTGCTTAGTGTTTATGACTTGTTCTCTGGCTTACCTTCAGGGGATAAAATGTGTAATCTTACCTGTAAGTGAACTTATGTTCTAATTCCAATTGGGAAATATTTTTTCTTCTATCGTGGAACCTTAGATTTAGAAGGCACCCGTGGAAGGAACAAGATAGAGTTCCCTGCCATGTGAGTCAGCACACCCTGGCAAGAGACATTTCTGTACGGAGAGGTGGAGGGTTGTGTCTTTCCTGAGACAGTGCTATATCCTTGTTGAATATATTTTCTGTTTCTATTAAGTACATTTCTTTTTTTGTTAAATGTTTGATGGTCTCTTAAGTGTATCATTTTGATTCAATCCTGAGATTGGACCACTGGATAGACCAACCCAAGTCAGGCCCCACCCATAAAACACCTTAGAGATCATCCAGCTCAGAGGTTTCAAACATGTGGCCCACTGGAGAACCAGATTAAAATATAATTGGTAAATATTTAATGAAATAAATAAAAACACAATAAAACATAACATTAATTTTTGGTTTTCTAGTCGATATGCGGCCAGAAGGGATCCGTTTCTGTTTGATTTGACATGACTGATCTATCCCAACTCCCTACTGAATGGATAAATTCCCTCTATAACATCCTAGGACAGCCTCTGCTTAAACACCAACTGCGTCCAAAATATATGATCAAGCAGGCGATTTCATTTTCAGATCTTTTTAATTACTAAGGTCTTAGGGTAAGCCAAAATACACCTCCCCTGTAATGTTTACTTACTTCCTAGTATTTTCCCTAAGAAGTCAATGAATGAATGAAAAAACAAGCATTTATAAAAGATTAATGCTAGGCCCTCTATTAAGCACTGGGGATACAAGGACAAAAAGTAAGACATCCTCTGCCCTCAAACAGATTACATTCTAAAAGGGCAAGGCAATACATGAAGAGGGCAGGATGGCCAGGGAGTTGTGTCTTTGGCCTGTGAAATTAGTGAGAGGGCAATTGACTGACATACCCTTTTCAAGAAAAGTAGCATGGATTTGATTACTGCTTCGAGAGCAAGAGACAGAAGAGGGAAACAGGAGACATGGTATAATGCACCACAACCTAAGAGCGTGAAGTGTGGTGGGTCCGGGGTTTGCTAGATATGGTGAACCTGGGTGACAGAGCATCAAGTTTGTGGCAAAGAGAGACCTAAGACATTTTTGGGCCCAGGACCAAAGAGAATACATTTTCATTGCCAAAGAAGGCTTAGCTGCACCACAGGTATTAAAGCAGAGCAGTTTTTTCCTGATGAGTCAAGATATTCCTTAGAGTTGTTCTTCCTTACCTCCAGACTATGACCTCAGAGTATCTCCCCTTCCTGCTTCCTTGAGAGAAACGGGGGCAAAAAGGAACAACACTGAGAATTTTGCCCAAGAAATAAATCTCTGGGTCTCTTAACATCAAGTGTTTTTACGTGCAGGAGGTACATTCCTCCAGTCTGTTGGGTGGACATCCCATGGGACAATATGGACAAGACTCCTCTGATACAGCAACCCAAAAATCCCACCGCAGTTTCAAGCTATTCAAAGCCAGAAACTGCACCAAGTCTTTTGGGACCCCTCGTATTTATTGTTATTCCCATTTTATAAATGAGGCGACTAGGGGCTTCACGTGGGGTGGAGGGTCATGCCCAAGGAGATAACAGCTAACAAGTGGTAGAGGGGTCACTCGGTCCATTTCCTTGGTTACCTAGGACCTCGGCAGGAGAGCTGAGGTCGGGGGCAGCCCACGGGTCAGTGAACTCTCGGCAGCTTCGCTCGGCCACTAAAGCTGATTGCGAAAAAGAATGAACGCTAAAAATAAAACTAAAAAAAAAAATCAACGCTTGAGCCAGAGGCCCCAGGTACAAATTGGGGCCTTCTTCACACCACAGCAGGCGCTTCCTCAAGGGCTCAAACTATCATGGGGGCGGGGGAGAGAGAAATGCAAACTTTTCTTACTCAGAAAAAGAAATGAACAAGAACTACACATCACACCAGTTACTTCCTCGCTTCTCTAAAAGTCCCACCAACCCGCGCCAACCGGCTCGCGCAGGCGCAGTGGCACCACTTTGGGTCAAAGGGCAGGCGGCCTCGGGCCCCTGGCGTCGCCTCGGCAACCGGCGGAACCCGGCGCTAGGCGCGCGCTTCCGGCGCGGGAAGGCGCGTAGGGGAAGAAAGGGGACCGCCAGAGTGTGGCGAGCATAGGGTCTCACAGCTGCCACCGCGGCGCTATGAGGTTCCGGGCCAAGATCGTGGATTTGGGCTGCCTGAATCACTTCACCCGTGAGCGGCTCGTGCGTGGGGTGCGGGAGTGCGGCTGTGCCGAGGAAGCGTGGGGGTGGGAAGCGCTCGCGTGCGCCGGAAGTTGCGCAAGGATGGGGGGGTCGTTCTCTCCCTGCTGGGATCCTCGGTGGGACGTCTGGTCAGCTGGTATTTATTATGCGCTTACTGTGTGCCAGCCGCGGAATTAGAGTCAGGGATGAACAAAAGAGCCCCAGCTTCCAAGCTGGGGCCTGCCCCTCGGGCCCGGGTCGGGTTTCTGGCCTCCTCTGGGGCATCCCTCGCCTCACCCTCACTCTTCTGCATGCCCCGCCGCCCCAGGTGTCAGCAACACCATCTCCAAGCTGGCCAAGACGTGCACTCTGCGCCTCAGCCCCGACAAGCTCTACTTCATCCTGTCCGACAAGGTGGCCAATGGCGGGGTCAGCATGTGGTGCGAACTGGGCCAGGTGAGCCGCCCCCCCCCCCCCCCCCCCCCGCCTAGCATTACCCCGCAGGCTCTCCGCCCCTCCTGCCAGCACCCCCTCGAGTCACCCCCGGGCCAGCCTAACCTTGTGTTCCTAGGGCAACTTCTTCGACGAATTTCAAATGGAAGGGGTAGCAGCGGATCACAATGAAATCTATTTGGAGCTGACGCCGGAAAACTTATCCAGAGCCTTGAAAACGGCCCAGAATGCCAAAACAGTGAAGATCAAACTGACCAATAAACACTGCCCCTGTCTCACCGTGGCTGTGGAGCTGGTGAGTTCGCACAACTTGGGGGGATGGGGGGTTTCCTTCTTTGCCACTTTTCTGGTCTTATTTTGGATCTGTCATTCAGTTCAACACGATTTTGCTGGGTGGCTACAGAGCGTTGTGGTAGGTGCTAGGGAAACATAGACAAACAAGAAACAGCTCCTGCCCACAAGGAGTTTAAATTCTATGGGGGGGGGAACCCGTGTACACACTAAACACAAAATACTGTACATACCAAGTGATTCCTGGAGGAAGGGTGCTGTCAAGGGAAGGGAGATGGAAATGGGCATTTTGTGGAAGGGGACAGCTGAACAGAACTTTCAAGGAAGCCAGGTCAGAGTTGGGAAGAAAATGTATTCCAGGCATAAAGGGCATTTTGTTCAGAAAGCCCTCATGGAGTGTCGTGTCTGAGAAACAGCAAACAGGCTAAGTTTACTAGAAGGTGTTTGTGGAGTTAAATAATATGTAACAAGTCCAGAAAGATAGTCTGGAGTCAAACATTTTGTGTATGAAACTTTTATATTCCTGTTAAATTTAATATAGGATCATTGATTTAGAGTAGGTGAAAAGGGACCTTGAGGGTCATCAAGTCCAACCCCCTCATTTTACAGGTAGGGTAACTGAGTTCCAGAGTCCTGCCCAAGGTTACACAGCTAGTAAGTGTTTTAAGGTGAGATTCTACCCGTTCTTCCTGGCTTCAAGTACACCACACCATTATATCTTTATGAAATTTTTAAAAACTTCACTTGTGTTTTAGGACATTAAAGTTTTTTAGAATGATTTCCTCACAAAGGCTCTCTGAAGCAGATAGTACAGCTAATTATGCTTATTTTACAAATGAAAACCTCAGAAAGTTAAATGATTTACTTAAGGTCATACAACTAGAAAGTGGCAGTTGAGCCTAGGTCCTTTGACTTCTGATTCAGTCTTTTTTTTATTGCACCAAGCTTCCTCCCTAAAATTACTTACATGCTCCTGGAGGGCCACCATTCACATCCTACTTAATTTAATATCACCAGGGCCTTGGCCAAAATAGGGACTTAAGTAGATTTGTTGAATGTGAGAGTTAGAAATGACCAGAGAGAACAGCTAATCCAGCCCATTCCCTGAGCAGGAGCCATTTTTACAACATTGCCAAAATGTGGTCATCCATCTTCTGTTTGAAGACCTCAAATGATAGAGAACATATGCCTTACTAACAAATCAACTAATAAAGAAGCAAATATTAAGTGCTTGCTCTATACCAGTCCCCATTCAAGTCAGTGCAGATACAAAGACAAAAGCAAAACAATTCCTGCCCCCCAGGAGCTTGTATTCCAATAGAGGAGACAACGTGTGTGTGTACACACATATGGGCGCGCACACACACACACATAAATCAAATCAGCTACAAAGTAACCTAGGGGACATTGAGATGTTTGTGGTGAGGGAAGAGGACTAGCAAGTGGAAAGACTGAAAGGAAAGGTCCTGTACAGAAGGCAGTGCTTGAGCTGAATGTTAAAGGCATCCAGGGATTTCAGAATGTACAGGTGAGGAGAGAGAGTACATTTCATTGTTAGCGCTGATTATTAGGAAGTGTTCTTCTAGAATCTAACTTACTACAGCTTTTATCAGTTACTTTTTATTCTACTCTCTGGGCTCGAGGAGACAGTCATCAGCTTGTCCATTCTCTTCTCCAAGCTGAACATCTGCAACACATCCTTATTTCCATCAGTGGTTCATTGTACTGCTTGGATTTGAGTTCTCCTGATTATCTGAGTTGCCTCCTTTCCCTTTGATGTAGCTTTTCAGTGTCTTTATTTAAAGTGTTATCCAGAAATAAAAGCAGTATTTTGGAGGTGATATAGCTAGTTCAGTGTATACTGAGATTATATGCTCCTTTGTCTTGGATACTACATTTCAATTTTTAAAAAACTTTTATTGATTATTTCCCAAATTTGAGGCACTGTTTGGAACTGGGGATTGGAAAGTTATTCTTGATCGTGAAATCATATACACATAGAAGGAAGTACAAAGTAAATATATATACAAAGTAAATACAAATTATTTGAGGAGGAGGAGGGTAAAGAAAGATCTCATATAGGAGAAGTACACTTGAGCCGAGCCTTGAAGGGAGCTAGGGATTCTAAGAGGTGTTGGTGGAGAGGGAGAGAATTCTAGACTTGGGGGGACAGCACAGCAATAGGGAACAGAATGTGTTGGGAATAGGGAACAACAAAGCAATTAGTTTGGCTGGCACAGTAGAGTGTATGAGAGAGAGTAATATAGGCTTTTTAAAAAATATTTTTATTTCATTAAATGTTTCCCAGTTACATTTTTTAAAATTTCAAACTTTTTTTCAATTATGAGTTCTAAATTCACTCCCTTCCACTCCTCTCATGCTTCTTGAGAAAGCAAGCAATATGCTATCAATTATACATGTGAAGTCATGTAAAAACATTTCCTTGTTAGCCATGTTAGAAAAGAAAACACACACAAATAAAGTGAAAAATCTCAGTTTTTTCAGTGATGAACTCGGAACTCATCACTTTCCTGGAGGTAGATAGCATTTTTCATCTTGGTTCCTTTGGCATTGTCTTGGATCATTGAATTTATCAGAGCAACTAACTCTTTCACAATTGATCATCATCATTATGTTACTGTTACTGTGTACAGTGTTCTGGTTCTGCTCACTTAACTTTGCATCAGTTCATATAAGACTGCTTCTGAAACCATCCTTCTTGTCATTTTTTAAAATAAATTTATTTTGATTTGTCAACAGTCAGTTCCATAAGCTTTTAATTTTTCTCCCCCTCTCTCTTCACCTCCCTCCCCAAGCGAAATCTGATATAGGCTGTACATATACATTCCTGTTAAACATATTTTCACATTAGTCATGTTGTAAAGAAGAATTAGAACCAATAGGAGAAACCACAAGAAAGAGGAAACAAAATAAAACAGACCTTGTTATTTGTTATAGCACAATCATATTCTATCACAATCATCTACCACAGCTTGTTCAGCTGTTCCTCAGTTGATGGGCATCCTCTTAATTTCCAATTCTTTGCTGCCATAAATTCTTTGCTGCTGTAAATATTTTTGTGCAAATGGGTCCTTTTCCCTTTTTGATCTCTTTGGGATACAGACCCATCAGTGGTATTGTTGAGTCAAAGGGTATGTACAGAGTTGTAAAGGGTTTTGGTCCTTTACAGGTATGTAAAGGTTTTGGTTCTTTTGGTATAGTTCCAAATTGTTCTCCAGAGTGATTGGACCAGTTCACAACTCCACCAGCAGTTCACTAGTGTCCCTATTTTTCCATGTCTCTTACAGCATTTGTTATTTTTCTTAACTGATGAAGGGTTCCACAAACGTTTAATTTATAAAAAGCATAATATTTGCAAAGTGTAATAAAATGAGGTATGCCTATAGTGAGAACACTTTGAGATATTATTAGCTTCAAACATCCCTGTGAAATATTTTCTATTATTCTCAACATTTTAATAGTAGAGAAACTGAGACACAAAGACATGAACTGAAAGGAAAAAGTAACTTGAGAAATAACAATGTAGGTTTCATATTACCAATTTGTCACCTCTTGTTTTCTGAGTTTAGCACTTTTTATTGATAACATTAAAAAATTAACTTCCAACTGTGTGGTTTTTCTTGGCAGCCGTCTTTATCAAGCAGTAGTCGCATTGTAACACATGACATTCCCGTAGGGGTTATTCCCAGAAAATTATGGACTGATTTCCGAGAGCCCACTGTACCAGACTTTGATGTAAGTAATTTTCTGGGGTCTTATTCTTAATTTAGCTTTTATATTATTATCCTCTAAGAGCATCAATAAGTTATATAGAGTAACTCTTTTGAAAATTCTGAGGAGTGTGAAAAGAAAATGAGTATTGATCAATTTTTGAAAGAAAGTAAAGAACAAATTATTTTAGTTCAACTTGAACTATTTAAAAACAGATTAAAGAGATATTGGAAATTTCATACATTACCTATTTGAAATGACAATAAAAACTCAAATTTGTAATTACTTTAATATTTAAAAGGTGTTTTACTCACAAGAGTCCTTTGAGGCTGTAGTTAAGGTACTCACACTCAAGCTGAGAGTGGTTAAAGGACTTTCCCAGTACAACTGAAAAAGTATTAAAATTGAGATCTGAACGATAGACTTCTTAGGCCTACTTCTGCTTTTCATTGTATAACATTACTTCCATCTTTAAAAGCAAGAAACAGTATCCTTAATATTAGTCCTTTTGTTGGGTAGAGTCCTTGAGGGAAACTTGATGTGTGACCCTTGGTAAATTTGGGGATCCACAAATACTGCTTCTTCCCTTATTCCCTAAAATATTGTGTTCGGTATATCTCTCTAAGATAGTACAGTAACTTAAAGTTTTCATGTGAGAAAACTTCTTGAATAGTTATCTTATGCTAATCTGCTAAAGCAACTAGAAATACCATAATAATGCCAAAAGGTCCATCAATTTAGGTCACCACCCAATTTACAAAAGGAAAGACATGCACCCTGAATATAGTGGTTATGACGTTAATCACCAGTATTATGAAAGGCACCTGGGAACATTTATGGAGTCTTGTTTTATAATCAGGGCAGATTTCTTAGGGATTCTTTGATTAGAGTAGTACACCTCAAATGATAATTATCCAGTACATGTAGTAAACTATAGTAATATGATCTTACCCAGGGAAAAAACAGACTTTGAGGGAGTGTCTTCACTGATAAGACGGTGGTTCTTGGGCCCTTCACACTTGATAATATGCTAATTTGGGTAGAAAATAATTTTTTAACTATTGCTACATCTGTAAAATAGGTGGAAGTAGCATACACCTTCACAGAGAGCTTGTGTAGACTTTCAAGTGCTGTGTAAATATGGAGAATAATAATCATAAAGGATAGCATTTCATGGAGAAGAACCTTTTGTTGGGAATGTTCTATTTCCATTCTTACAGTGTATCTTAAATATAACGAATGCTTAAAGGTATTGCTGTTCTGTTAGGTAACCAAGGTGTAAGAAGTAGGTGCTTTACAAGTTAATTCTGAAGCTTACATACAAATTACTGGAAATAAGGATTTTTTCTTATGGATTTTGAATAAAACAACAAAATAGCATTTGGATTGTTGTTAATGTTGTTAGAAAACAATCACATGGAAAAAAATTGAGAGAATTTATAATTCATTTCTCTTCTTTTAACTCTCTCCTTTGGAGGACTAAGGCAGAAGAATCAGACTTGAGAGCCCTACAGGTTTTTTTTCTTTGGTAATTGCAACTACATTTTTATTTTTAAGTATTTTTATAGGCACTAATATTCTCAAATTTGTCAATTGTTCGAGTGCTAATTTTATTCTGCCAAAACTTGAGGTGTATATATGCTATGTAACTATTTCATGTTCAGCAGGTAGATCTCCACTTAAGGGTGTAATTTTTTTTTTAGTTATGAAAATATAAATCTTTGGTAAGGCATTAGGTAATTTGTGGATAGATGTCAACTTTTAAAAGTATGTTTATTAATAACAGTAAAAGGATTGCATATTGCATTTCTGAGAATTGTGATTCATAAACATTTATTAAATATCTGATGATTCATGAATATTTTGAATGTCAATATTAGATCAGAATTTCAATTTAGATTTGGTTCTTTTCCAGTATGCTTATGACTAAAATTAGGTGAAAACAAGCAAATAAGTTTCTTCTTTTGGTATCTTTGTTATTTCTAAAGCTTTTGCTGGTTGAAATCCTAGGGACTTTTCATTAAGCTTAAAAGCTTAGATAAGTTTTTCTTTTGTTGATGTTTCAAAATTACTTAGATAAAAATATATAGTAAAATAGATTAGAACAAAAACACAAAACATATTGGAGTTCTTTAGACCTTGAGATATTCTGTCTAAAAGGGTTCTAGACAGATAATTATGACAATTTTAGGTTTCTTTGTAATTATAGAATTTGGACATGACTAGACAGCCTCATAAAAGGTTAAAAGAGTTGGAGTAGATGATTTCTCAGCTCAGGGATTCTGTGATTTTAATCAGTCAGGCAATTGTTAGATGTCTTCTATATGCCAAACACTGATTTACTCAACAAGCATTTATTAAGTGCTTTACCATGTGCCAGGTACTGTGCATACAAAAAAAAGGCAAAAACATGCCGCCTGAAGGAGCTCACCTTCTAATTTGGGAGACTGCATGCAAACAATTATCTCAAATCACTAAGATTTCTACCACAATTTCCCCCTCCTTCTCTGTCTCATATGAAGAAATGACCCTTCTTACCAAAGCAAGCTCCTCTACATGCACAAGCAATCCTATTCCACCCTGTCCTCTCCAACAGATCACTCTCACTGATCTTCAATCTCCCTGTGTGCTGGCTATTTCCTTACTGCCTGTAGACATGCCCATGATTTGCACATGCTCAAAAAACTCTCACTTGATTAGCCCATCCTCAGTAGCTATGGTCCTTTATTCCCTTTCCCCTCCATCCCCATGTGTGGCTAAACTTGAGAAGGCCATCTACAATTGATGCCTTTACTTCCTTTCATCTCATTCTCTTAACTCTTTGCAGTCTGGCTTCTGACCTCATCATTCAACTGACCTCATCTTCAGAGTTATCAATGATCTCTCTATTGCCAAATGCAATGGCCTTTTGTCAGTCCTCATCTTTCTCAGTCCTCAACCTCTCATCAGCCTTTGACATTATCACCCATTTTCTTATCCTTGATATTCTCTTTGCTCTAGGGTTTTTTAATTTTTTTTTAAATATAAATTTATTTATTTTTCATTTTCACCATTCACTTCCACAAGTTTTTGAGTTCCAAATTTTCACCCCATCTCACCCTCCCCTCCACCCCAAGATGGCATGCATTCTGAATATCCCTTCCCCTAGTCTGTCCTCTCTTCTATCTCTCCCCCCTTCTCTTATCCCCTTCCCCTTCTGTTTTCCTGTAGGGCAGGACAGACTTCTATACCCCATTTCCTGTATTTCTTATTTCCCAGTAGCATGTGAAAACATTTTTTTAAACATATGTTTTTAAAACTTTAGGTTTCAAATTTTCTCTCTTCCTCCCTCCCCACCACCCTCATTGAAAAGGCAAGCAACTCAATATAGGTTATACATGTGCAGTTATGCAAAACACTTCCAGTAGTAGATGTATTGTGAAAAACTAACTCTATTTCCCTTAATCCTATCCTGCCTCCCATTTATTCTATTCTTTCTTTTGACCCTGTCCCTCCTCAGAAGTATTTCTTCTGATTACCCCTTTCCCAATCTGCCCTCCTCTCTATCATCCCCCTGCTCTCTTGTCCCCTTCTCCCCCTATTTTCCTGTAGGGTAAGACAGATTTCCATACCCAATTGAATGTGTATGTTATTCCCTCCTTAAGCCAAATCCTATGAGAATAAGATTCACTCATTCCCTCTCACCTTCCCCTGTTTCCCCTCCACTGTAAGAGACTTTTCTGTTTTTTTTTTTGTGAGATAATTTACCCCATTCTGCCTCTCCCTTTCTTCTTCTCCGAATATCATCCTCTCTCATCCCTTAATTTTATTCTCCAGATATGACCCCTTAATCTTCAACTCACCCTGTGCCTCTCTATCTATCTATCTATCTATCTATCTATCTATCTATCTATCATCTACATACATACATACATACATATAATTTTTTTCCAACTACCCTAATACTGACAAAGGTCTCATGAGTTATAAATATCATCTTTCCATGCAGGAATGTAAACAGTTCAATCTTAATAAGTCTCTTATGATTTCTCTTTCCTGTTTACCTCTTCATGTTCCACTTGAGTCCTGTATTTGAAAGTCAGATGTTCTATTTAGCTCTGGTCTTTTCATCAGGAATGCTTGAAAGTCCTCTGTTTCCTGAATGACCATTATACTCAGTTTTGCTGGGTGGTTGTAATCCTATCTCCTTTGCCCTCCGGAATATTATATTTCATGCCTTGTGGTCCTTTAATGTAGAAGCTGCTAAATCTTGTGTTATCTTGATTGTGTTTCCACAGTACTTGAATTGTTTCCTTCTGGCAGCTTGTAATATTTTCTCCTTGACCTGGGAACTCTGGAATTTGGCTATAATATTCCTAGGAGTTTTCCTTTGGGGATCTCTTTCAGGAGGAGATCTGTGGATTCTTTCAATTTCTATTTTGCCCTCTGGTTCAAATATATCAGGGCAGTTTTCCTTGATAATTTCTTGAAAGATGATGTCTAGGCTCTTTTTTTGATCATGGCTTTCAGATAGTCCAATAATTTTTAAATTCTCTCTCCTGGATCTATTTTCCAGGTCAGTTGTTTTTCCAATGAGATATTTCACATTGTTTTCTAATTTTTCATTCTTTTGGATTTGTTTTACAGTGTCTTGATTTCTCATAAAGTCACTAGTTTCCAATTGCTCTATTCTAATTTTTAAGGAAGTATTTTCTTCAGTAATCTTTTGGACTTCCTTTTCCATTTGGCCAATTTTTCTTTTTAGGGCATTTTTCTCCTCATTGGCTTTTTGGACCTCTTTTGCCATTTGGGTTAGGCTATTTTTTAAGGTGTTATTTTCTTCAGTATTTTTTGGGTCTCCTTTAGCAAGCTGTTGACTTGTTTTTCATGATTTTCTTGCATCACTCTCATTTCTCTTCCCAGTTTTGTCTCTACTTCCCTTACTTGCTTCTCAAGATCCCTTTTGAGCTCTTCCAAGGCCTGGGACTGATTCATATTTTTCTTGGAGGCTTTGGATGTAGGAGCTTTGACTTTTTGTCTTCTTCTGGTTGTATATTTTGATCTTCTTTTCACCAAAGTAAGATAATATAGTCTGACTCTTTTTGTGCTGCTTGCTCATGATCCCGGCCAATTACTTGAGTTTTAAACTCTTTGTTAAGGTAAGAGTCTGCTTCCAATGTGGAGAGTGTACTGTCCCAAGCTTCAGGGGTTTGTGTAGCTGTTTTCAGAGATACTTGTAGGGACCTGTAAATTTTCAGTTCTTCCAAGGTGGTATGATAAGGGGCGAGGTGTTTACTCCTTTCCTGGCCTGTGACCACAAGTATTCCTTTCTGTCCTGTAACTGTGAGGAGGGGTTCCTCTCCACAGCCAGTGCAAGCTCCACCAGACCAGCACTCCTCCTCACCCCAGCACCGCCGCCCAGAACTGTGACCCAGATCCAAATACGGGCAAAGCAAGAGATTCCTGCCTCAGCACTGGCAAAGAGATCCCTGCAATCGCTCTCTGATCAGCCACTGGATTCCCCCTCAGTCTGTGGGCCAGAAGGTCGGGAAGCAGCTGCCCCTCCCAGGGCCACGCTCTTGGAGAATGCAGCTGAAACCCCGCTTTCGTCTCTGAGCACTGCCAAAACAGACTTTTCCCACTGACCTTCTAAGTTGTCTTTGGCATTCGTGGATTGAGGAGTCTGGAAACCGCCACAGCAGCCCAAGATTCAGTCCTCTGAGGCCTGCTGTAGGTTTGCTGTGGCTGTGCTCCCAGCCCAGCGCGATACACCTTTCTGATGAATCATCCAGGTTGTCTTGGGCTGGAAATTTGTTTCACTCTGTCTTTTTGTGGGTTCTGCTGCTTCAGAATTTGTTTAGAGCCATTTTTTATGAGTATTCGGAGGGCGTTTGGAGGAGAGCTTAAGAAAGTCACTGCTTTTACTCTGCCATCTTGGCTCCGCCCCCTGCTCTAGGGTTTTTTGACACTTCTTTTCACCTTGTTCTACCTGTTGGACCTCTCTTCCTCAGTCTCCTTTGCTGCATCTTCATATGTTCATGCCCATTACTGATGGGTATCCCCCAAGGGTCTGTCCAGGGTCCTCTCTTTTCTCCCTCTCTACAGTTTTGCTTGGTGATCGCATTAGTTTCCATGAATTCAATTGTCATCTCTATGCTGATGACTCTCAAATTTATTTAACAAGCCCTAACCTCTCTCCTGACTTCCAGCCTCACTTCTCTAGCTGTCGATTGGATATCATCCAATATGTAACTGGATATCCCTTAGATATCTTAAATGCAGCAGGTTCAAAACTGAACACATTATCTTTTCTCCCCAAGTCCTCCCCTCTTCTACCTTCCTAATGACAGCCTAGGGTACCACTATTCTCTGAGTCACCCAGGCTCAACTGCTCACTCTTAGCAACTCTGAATATCCAGTCAGTTCCCAAGTATTGTCAATTCTACCTTTGTAAATCATACATTCCCTCTTCTCTCTTCTGACTCTGCCACTACCCTGGTGCAGGCGCACATCACCTCATCTGAACTATTACAGTAGCCTGCTAGTTGGTCTCCTTACTTCAAGTCTCTTTGTACTCCAATTCATTCTTTACTTATTTCTCTAAATAATCTTTTTTATTTGTAGGTATGACTCCCCTATTCACTAAGCATCAGTAGTTCTCTGTTTACTCCAAGGTCAAATATAAAATCCTCTCTGGCTTTTAAAGTCCTTAATTATCTGGCTCCTTCCTACTTTTCCAGTCTTCTTAACTGACTTCCTTGCTGTTTCTTTCTTTTAAAAATTTCATTTATTCGTTTCTTTTTAGTTTTCAACATTCACTTTCATAAGATTTTGAGTTTTAAATTTTCTTCCCTCCCCACGATGGCATGCAGTCTGATATAGGCTGTACTTATACATTCATATTAAGCATATTTTCACATTAGTCATGGTGTAAAGAAGAATTAGGAGTAATGGGAGGAACTATGAGAAAGAAGAAACAATAAAACAACAGAAGAAAAGGAGAACAAATAGTATATACTTCTGTCTGCATTCAGACTCCATAGTTCTTTCTCTGGATGTGGATAGCATTTTCCATTGTGAGTCTTTTGGAGTTGTCTTAAGCTTGCGTTGCTGAGAGGAGCTAAGTCTATCAAAGTTAGTCATTGCACAATGTGGCTGTTACTGTGTACAATGTTAGGCTCCTGCTTCTGCTGTTCTTGCTGTTTCTTGCATGAAATACTCCATATTTCTACTCTGTTTATTTTCACTGGCTGCCCCCCAGACCTAGAATTCTCTCTTCTCTCATTCCCATCTCTTGGCTTCCTTTGCTTCTTTCTGTTTCTAGCTAAAGTCCCACATTCTGCAAGAAATCTTTCTCTGTCTCTTTAATGCTAATGCCTTCCCTCTATTGATTATCTCCAATTTATTCTGAATATATCTTCTTTTTACAAAGTTGTTTGCCCCATTAGACTGAGCTTCTTTAGAGCAGGGACTAACACAGTGTGTGGCACATAGTTGATGCTTAATAAATTCTTGTTGACTACAAAATATGTACAGTTTAAATGGAAAGTCATCTCAGAAAGGAAAATCATTTACACTGGGTGCCTTTTGAAGGAAATTGCAATTTGAACCAAGTCTAAAATCTGTATATGTTACTATCATTTACTGTAGCTTTTATGTTTGTTTTAAATTATTTTTGCTTATTCTATTGTTTTTTGTAGGTTAGCATATATTTACCAGTATTGAAGACTATGAAGAGTGTAGTGGAAAGAATGAAAAACATCAGCAATCATGTTGTAAGTAATAATTCATCTAGGGGAACACTGAAGATACTTTTTTTTGGTGAAGTTTTAATAGGTGTTTGACATTGCCTATTAACATTTGTGTAAATTATGTTTATGTGTTTATAAACATGCATTTTATCTCATGGTTCTACATGTTTAGAAATGCAACACAGTACATAGACTATTCAAACTAAATAAAAGCCTGTTCTTATGACTGAAATATTTCACAACTGCTTTTACTTGGAATAAATGATGTTTAAATTGGAATAACTTAGATTTGTAGTGAGTAGTTGATTAAGAAGGTGGTGTTAAAGAATGAAATTAAATTTCTACACCCAGTTTATGAAACAAAAATTACAAGGGATTGAGGACATGTAACAGATTTTGGAAGGAATATATTTGCCTGTGGACTTGTGGGTCTGGCCCAAGGGAACTTAAAACTGCAAGTGGAGTCTTGTACATCTGCTGATTCAGAAAATATCAGACATCACATAAGAATAGCAGTGGAAAAGCTAAGCAGTTCATAGGAGATAGTGTCCAAGAAGGGGTATAGTAATATGCCCTTTGATTTCTACATATGTGTGTAGAGTGTAATAAAGTGAACTAGAGAGCTTAACATAAAAGAGGTAAATTTGACCTCATAGGTATTACTGAGACTTGGCAAGACAGGAGTTATTACTAGAATATAGCAAGGAAGGAATTGTTGTTCACTCATTTCAGTTCTGTTCAACTCTGTTTGTGACCCCATTTGGGGTTTTCTTGGCAAAGATACCGAAGTGGTTTACCATTTCCTTCTCCAGCTCATTTTACAGATGAGGAAGCAGAGGCAAACAGGGTTAAGTGACTTGCCCAGGGTCACACAGCTAGTTAATGTCTGAAGCTAGATTTAGATTCAGGTCTTTCTGACTGCAGGTGTGGCACTTTGTCTGCTGTGCCACCTAGCTGCCCAAGGAAGGAATAGATTATCTAAAAGACTATACAGAGTAGTGGGTATTATGTGAGAAGATTCGGGGAAGTAGTTGAGTTAGGATTAATGGGTAGAAAAACAGAGGCAGTAGTAATGATAGTAATCTTCTCACATAATACCCACTACTCTGTTTGTGACCCCATTTGGGGTTTTCTTGGCAAAGATACTGAAGTGGTTTACAAACCATTTCCTTCTCCAGCTCATTTTACAGATGAGGAAGCAGAGGCAAACAGGGTTAAGTGACTTGCCCAGGGTCACACAGCTAGTTAATATCTGAAGCCAGATTTAGACTCAGGTCTTTCTGACTAGCTAGTGACCATCCGTTGATGCGAAAGGCAAAAGAAGGAAAAAAATCAGTTCAGCCTAACCAGCTTATACATTAACTCAATGTGACACACACATACGGTAACACACATCCAGAGACAACTTGTATTTTAAAAAGACATGTACAGAAAATGGAAACAGAAGATAACTAAGAATGAATGCAAAAGAATGGAATGTTTTTCTGTGAGCGTCAGGAATTCTAAAGACCAGGGTAACTTATAGCTTACAGTGAATTCTAATGGAAATATGAAGATACGTTGTAGTTATATTGGAGAAAAGAGGATTAGAGTAGTGGGGATATGAGCTGTGTTTAGAGCAGAGGGAATAGAGATGATGGAAAAAGTAGCAGGCAGATGATTGATTTTTTATTATGCTTTTGTTTTTCTTACCAAAGAGAATCTTTAGACTAAGAAGTATAATACACAAGTGGCTAGTAAAGAATTGAAACTCAAGATTAGAGAGATGGTAAGAGAAGACCTATCTTCTGTCAGTGAGTTCCAGGTAACTGAGTAACCAGACAGCCACCATCTCATTGTACTGCAAGAACTTGAGGATGGGACTGGGGAGCAACTGTTACAGATTTTGAGAAGTTATAAAGAATGAGAAAGGAATTCTAGGAATTGGAGATGAGCAAATATCATTATTTTCATGAAGGGGCAAACTGTAGACAGCTAAGCTTGACTTAGATTCCTGGCAAAATTATAGATTTCATTATTAAAAGAATAGTTTGTGAGTCATAGAAAAAAATAAAGGTAATCACTATTAGTAGTTGAGTGAGTCCTCCCTTTAGAGAACCACAGGGGTCTTTCCTTGTCTTTATGTCTAAACAGTGACTTGAATGAAGGCGTGATTGGCCATACTTATCAAATTTGTGAATAAGGTGAAAGTAAGAGTAATTGAGTAATAGATTAGAATCCAAGAGATCTTTATAGGTTATAATAATAACCCATATTTATATAGCACCTTCAGATTTACAGAGACAATAACCTTCTTAGGTAATTTTAAAATATCTTTTTGCAGATGAGGAAACTGGGACTGAGGTAATAAATGATTTACTCGTGGTTACTCAGTGTTGGCCAGGATTTGGGCACAATTTTCCTAATTCTGTGTCCTGGGTTCTTTCTGTTACTTTGTCAGATGTTTGGGCCAGATCTAATTAGATGAAACTTAATAGAGTTAAATGTAGATTTCTACACTTGGGTTAAAAAACTTACCGATACAAGGAGGGAAGATATGACTAGACAGCTTTTCATGTGGAGAAGAAATAGGGATTTTAGTGTACTGTAAATGTTATATATACACCAACATTAAGACAACTCACCCAGCAAGACTAATGGGATCTAATAGAAACACAGTGTACAGACAAAAGAGATGATAGTCCTGATAACCTGCCTTGGTTAAACCATTTCTGAAATATTGTGTTCAGCTCTGGGCATTTTAGCAAGCAAACATTGAAAAGCTAAGGGATTTCTCCAGAGGAGGGCTTTAAATCATGCAACATAAGAATCAATTGAAGAATCAGAGGATATTTAGCTGGAGAACAGAAAATGGTAGATTTCTTCAATTATTTGAAGGTTTGTCCTGTGAAAGAAATTGTTTAGGTTGACCTCTGAAGATAGAGCTAGAAACAATAGGTAGAAATTATTGAAAAGATTATTTTAGCCTTAAGGCCTGGGAGAAAGTAAAAGAGGGATGTGAAGAGGAGAGAGATTGGGTTTGTGATAAATGTTTATTTTTGGACATGTTGAGTTTGATGTGTTAGCTTTGCAACACAGCTGGGTAGAACTGTGTCTTGCCAGGTAATTTTGAAGTTCAGGTTCAGAGATCAGAAGAAATGTGAGGATTAAAGAAAAAGGTTATAGCGTTATTTTGTAGAGAGCTTAGTGGAAGTGATTGTAATGACTGTGATCACAAGGTAAAAGAATAGAAAGAAAAACAGCCCCTTTGGGTAGAGGGAGGAAGAGGAGGCAGGAAAGAGTCAGTTTAGAAGTGGTTAGAAGTGTAGAATGAGAACAAAGCTGAGAAAAGAGAAAGTTTGTTTAAAAAAAGGAAGAGGAGCATTTCTAGCACTCAGTAGAACTGCAGAAAAATTCAAGAAGATGAAGGCTGAGAGGACCTTCAACTTTTAAAATTAAGAACAAGAAACAAAATTTTCACTCGATATATCCAAGTACTCTCTGTCTTTAACTGCAGAACTTACCTAGAAACCTTCAGTTTCTAAATTTTGTGATACAATGACAAAGATGAAACATTTTTCTTCGTGTACTAGGACACAGTAAGCAGAGCTTATAAAGGTTAGAAAGATGGCAACCCTTTTTTGGTGCTTGGCATGGTGTTTCTTTATTATAATGAAATGGTGATTTGTAGCCATTGTTAGGAATGAACAAGTTATGTGAGAAAGAGAAATAGGTCTTTTGGTGGAATGGAGTGCTGGAGAAGGGGGAGAGGAGACTGCATATATGAGAAATAAAGGCAATGGTTTTAAGAAGAATATAAGGGATAAGCATTCCTTCATTCCTTCCCCACACCTCCTCTCCCACATTCCTGATGCAAGGGGGCAGGGTTGGTTGCAAAAAAGAGACAGGAAGGTGTAGCTTTAACTAACAGGGCTTTTAATTGTTAGTGAGTTATTTTTGTGATCATACCCTGCTGATGGACTGTGGATATCAGAGTCAGTTACCAATATCTCTGGCCTTGGAAGTTATAATTAATTCTCTGGTATCTTCAGTATTTCCTAAAGCTTTTCTACAGTTGTTTTCAAACTCTATAGTTCATTTTTAAAATGAAGGGTTTTTTTCCATAGAATTCTAAAACTTTTAAACTCATTCTTTGCAAGTATATTGGGTTTTTATAAACTAAAAAAACCATTCAGTTTTAATTGGTGTCATATGTACTGGCTATGAGGCCCTGAGTAAGTCATTTAACCTCCTCTCAGTGCCCTGAGGTAACTTTCTTAGAGTATCTGATTCTCTTAACAGTTACCCATTTCCATTAGTAGAGGTACCTTTCTGACTTTTTCTCCTATGAAATCAAAGGTCTAGGAATTAAAAAAAAACCAATACCAAGTTGAAGTTATTTTTCTTTAATTGTTTTTTACTCCTGTCAACTATGTGGTAAGCTCCCTGACAGTCGGTACCATATCTTATAGCCAGTGTACAGAGAGGCAGTGTGTTAAAGTTTTAAAAAACTGGCATTAACTTCAGAAAGCCTGGTGTCAAATCCTGGTCCTGTTTCTTCTTATTAGTATGATACTGGGCAGGTAATTTAATCTCTTTGAGCCTCAGTGTTTTGATCTGTAAAAAATGAAGTTTGGCTAGACTCTAAGGCTCCCTTGTATTTCTAAATCTTTTGATCTATTCAACAAATATGTTTGGTTGTATAGTTGTGTTTTTTTTATGTTTTTGTTTTTTCACACATGTGAAAGAATAGCATAAGTCAGAGATCTGCTTTGGACTTTTATGGATGTTGATTGGGATATTGATTGGTTTCTAGCTATGCCTGTAATTAATATCACTATTAAAAAGCTATCTGTCCTATTTTTGTTGAATAATTAAGAGTTCCTTCATTCCAATGCAAATAAATGGGTCAGCTATTCATAGCTTTTCAACAATGTTATGAAATCATTCAAGATTAACTACTGAAAAATATCCACATAATCTTTATAGTCCAAATTATTCTCTGGATCTTAGTTCCCCTTAGAATTTCCAGATTTCTTTGGATTATGAGTAAATCATTGGATTTAGAGCTAGGCAGGACCTTAATGATTATGAAATCCAACCACCTCCTTTTACAAAACTTAGGCCCAGAGAAGTAAATTACAGAGCTGGGAAACTCTGATCCTTTGACTCCATATGCAGTTCTCTGTCCTATTAAATCATTCTGTCACCCATAGCAGAGTTTCCTGGTCAATAGCAGAAATTTGCCTTTAAATGCCTCTTTTATTTATCATCTTAAAAGCTTACTGTTACCCTGTATATAAAATTGTTTTTTCCTATACTCGATTAAAGATTTAAATCATATGTTCAAACTATAATTCATAGGTTATTGAAGCGAACCTAAAAGGAGAGATGAACTTGAAAATAGAAACTGATTTAGTGTGTATTACAACACATTTTAAAGATCTTGGAAATCCTCTTTGGGGTAAGATTTCTGGTTTTTCTTTGACTTGCTTTTGTTAAACTTAAAAATGATATGTCATTGAGATCTTTAAATGTTAAATTGGAAGTCTAGTTGAGTACATTTTTTACTTGTAGTGAGGGAGGTAGAAATGGAATAATTTGTGTAATCATTCCAGTTTGAGTAAAAAACCACATTGAATTATATAATTTTTTTATCTTACTGATTTAACCAGATAATAAAGGATATTTTGAAATATAGAAAGGAAAAAATATATAGCAAGGACTTGAAAAATTGTTTTCTTTTCATCCCGCTCTTTCAGAATGATGGTCTTTGTATAAGATGCATACATTTATTTTGGACCAGATCTGTGATTCCATTAATGTAGAAAACTCCTGTGGAAACTCCCTTTACCACTGCAGGTTGCCACCTGCTCTGTAACTTGTAGTCTTAGAAGGTTGTCTCGAGGTATTAAGAAGTTAAGTGATTTGCTCAAGTTATATAGGGCTTTATCACAAACATTATCCACAAGATACTTTGTAGGACTCAGTGATTGAATCTAAAGGTCAGTCTTTTTTTTCCTGAACTCAAAAGGTATTTGTTGAAGGAGATAGCATGAGTTCATTTATTCAGATTACATGCTTCTTTAAATATGGATCATATCTTTCATATTTATCCCTTGACCCTAGTATATTATTTTGCATACAGCTGGGACTCTATAAATGCTTGTTGATTGGAAGAATTTTCAAGTTGCTATTATGCTTGTAAGACAAGGATGAAGAGACACAAATACATATGACACCCAAAGGAATGATAGATATTCCACTTAACTACATAAAAACTAGCCCTTTTGTACTTGAAAGACACCATGTAATAGTACATAGAAGACTAGCCTTAGAACTGGAATGATTTGGGTTCAAACTCCTCATCTGTGTCTCTGGGTAAGTCACTTAACCTCTTGGTATTTTAGGGAACTTTTCACTGCTAGAGGGAATTTCCTCAACAAGAGAGCGTCCTGTACTAGTGAAATCATAGATCTAGTCCCTGTACCTTTGAATATATTTAACCTAGGCTGTTCTATAATAGTAATCATTTTGTTTAATGGTGTTTCTATCATTGTAGCCTCTGAAGATGCTTCTCAAGATAGAGATTCAGAGAACATGGCTGAAGCACGAATAGATATTAAGAAGCTTCTACAGTTTCTTGCAGGACAGCAAGTAAACCCAACAAAAGCATTATGTAGTGAGTTTGTTCATTATTCCATTTCTGTATGTAATATGCTTTAAACAACACCAGTCCAGAGCATTTTTCTAAAAAATGCAGTCAAATCTCAGCTGTTTGGAATTGAACCTTGTAGAACCCTCAGCTTTCTGAACAGCTCTGGTTTAAGAAGTTGGGGTAAGGGATGGAGGAGGATCTTTTTGACAGCAAAACACTCATTGAGCCTCATACACCTACACATAGTAGACGTTAATATTTGTTGAATGGAGTGAACATCTAGCAGCAGTAGGGGCTGCAGCAGAGAAGAGTCGTGGAGAGTGCTGCTGTTGCCGTGAGAGAGAACATTAAAAGACAGAAGGATTAGATATCTCACCTTGACTATAAAGGATAGCATTTCTGCATGGAGAACTGAGCAGTGTGGAAGAAACAACACTGGAGAGCTGGTTCAATCAGCAGTGGGCAGGGCAAACTACTAGCCCTCACATGGGGAAGAAGAGAACCAGAGGTCAGAACACAAGCAATAGGATTAGGCTAGGGAGTTGGAGGGTAGAATGAAGAACAGGAGGAGTGGCATTCCTAACCATTCATGTGTACTAATAACCTCTGACACCATAGAACTGTTCTGCTGGAGCAGCTGTAGTAGGAGAGAAGAGAAGCAGTCCCCTGCATTGCCCTTGAAGTCATTAAATAAGACACACCCTCTTTAGAGGTGTATGTATGAGCCTAGGCAGACTTTACTGTAAAGATTAAAAGTCAGTGATCAACTAACCATAGTAGAGTATTAAAATCTTTACGGTAGTATATATAAAAATAGCACAACAGGACTAGATGTCTGAAAGCCAAATTATAATATGGATTCTAGCTTTTTTGTTTTCTTTTATTGAAAGACAAAGGACAGAAATGCTAAAAACTTGTGCTAGTCTTGGATAGTGGTTGCTTGTACCTAACTCAGAAGAATTTAGTGCAAAAAATATTGGTGAATCAGTATATAATTTGTTCATCTCATCTACAATGTATCAAGACTAGGGGCTTGTATTCAGCTTAAGAAAGTCAGATGGAACATACCATGTGGTATGCACAGCTAAATTGATGTACCTAGATTGTGTTTTTTGTAAGTAGATCATAGTGAAAAGATATAAAGGTAGCCCTATTTTTGGCCTTGGGTTCACTACAGAAACATTTATGAGCAAAAACAGGAATGAACTGAGTACATTTTTAGGAAAGTAGTGTTGCTCTTTGAAAATGAGAGCATTAAAAAGTTTCATAAAGCTGCTTTTGATTTTGAAAGGTAAATCCTTGGGTCTACAAAAGCATTGTAAGATTTTTTGGGGGAACTGATTTTGCACCAAAGGCTAATGAGACTTTTTTTTCCAATACTTGCCAATTTCTGCATTGACAGGTACCACCAAATTGGCCCCGTCTTGATTTTCCACACGTACTTTGGGTTTAGGTAGAATATGAAGGCTGGCCAGGTTCTTAATATTCTCAAAATTTTCAGATTTCTGTATAACAAATTCTTTGTTTTAAAAATATCATTGTTCTGTCTTTTGGAGCAGAGGTTCTTAACTATTTTTGTGTCGTGGACCTCTTTGGTATTCTGGTGATATCTATGGATGCCTTTATCAGAATTTAAATTATTAAAGGAAATATTAAATTTCAGTTAAAGGTCAATGAAAATGAAGATTTAATTTTTCCCCTCATCCAAATTCCTCTCCTCCCTGAAAAATCTTACACACAAATTCCCAAGGGTTAAAACCCCTTCTTTAGGTTTTTGAACATTTGCATGTTGCTTATATAGCACAAGTTAATGAAAGAATAGACTTTTTTAAAAAAAGTCAACTAAAATTCCATGCCTTCAGTGGAAGATACTTTCACAACTATCGTCTTAGCTTTGGATAACCGATATAATTTTCTTGCCTATCAATTGCATTATTTTCTCTAAAGATATAGCACCTAGGAATATTTTACTATTTTCTTTGCCTAAGGAGCATATCTCCATGCCACTGTTACCTCCTTCCCCCCTACTCCCCCCAAAAAAAGGACAGAAAAAAATACGCTGACTGAAACTGGATCAAAGTTAAGAAAATGAAATGTTATTAAAGAATAGATTCCTCATGAAAATTGATAGACTTTGCAAGCACTTCAATCTTACAACTAAAGATCTTATTTTTAATGTGTCTGTTTAGAATGCTACTCATTCAGACATTAAGGAGAGAGTGAAGAAAATTGTGGCATGGTGTGTCTTCTTGTAATGTTGTTGATGATGTTTTTGTAAATCTTAGAATAAGTTCTCTCCAAATCACTCTGGCACAGATTTTTAGAATAGTGAAAGGGCACTGTGTCACACATGTATAGTTTCTGATGCTGATGATTCTCAAATCTACCTATCTTGCCCTAATCTATCTGCTGACCTCCAATCTCAAGTCTCCTACCATATTTTATACATCTCAAACTGGATATCTGTAGACATCTTAAACTTATTATTTCCAAAACAGAACTCATTATCTTTCCACCTAAACCCTCCCTCTCCTACCTTCCTTATTATTGTAGAGAGCAACACCATCCTTCCAGTCCCCTCAGACTTGGAACCTAGGAATCTTGGATTTCTCACTATATCACTCCCCACCTATCCCTCCCACCCCCACATCCAAACTGTTGCCAAGGCTTGCCGATTTCATCTTGGCAGCATCTCTCAAGTATACCCCCTTCTTTCCTCCAACTCTGTCACCGCTCTAGTTCAGGCCCTCATCTCTTTGTGCCTTGGATATTGCAATAGCCTGCTAGTGAGTCTGCCTGCCTCAAGTCTCTTTCCACTCCAATCCATTTTCCATTTAGCCCCTAAAGTAGTGATTGAACTAAAGGACAGGTCAGACCATGTTATTTTACTCTGCATAATAAACTCCAGTGACTTCCTATTGCCTCCAGGATCAAAAGCAAAATGCTCTATTTGAACTTCAAAGCCCTTCATATCCTAGCCCCCTCCTACCTTTCTAGTCTTCTTATATCTTTCTCTCCAACACAGCCTCATGGCTGTCCCATGAACAAGATGTTCTGAGTCTTGCATCTGGGCATTTTCTCTGGCTGTCTTCATGTCTGGAAGGCTCTCCCTCTTCCACTGACCTCCCTGCCTTCTTTTAAATCCCAACTAAAATCCCACTTTCTACAGGAGGCCTTTCTCAATCCATTTTAATTCATACCTTCTCTCCTTTAATTATTTCCTGTTTGACCCCGTGTATGACTTGCTTTGTATGTATTTGTTTGTCTATTGTCTCCCTCATTAGATTGTCAGCTTCTTGAGGACAAAGGCTGTTTTGCTTTTCTTTTTTCCTGCACTTAGCACAGTGCCTGGCACACAGTATGTGCTTAATAATTGTTATTTGATTATCAGTTTTACCTTTCAAATATCTCTGGACAGCTAGGTGCATAGAGCACTAGGCCTTCCTGAGTTCAAATTTGGCCTTACTTAACTAAGCTGTGTGACCTTGGACAAGTTACTTAACCCTGTTTGCCTCAGTTTTCTCTTCAGTAAAATGAGCTGCAGAAGGAAACAATAAACCGCTCTGTTATCTTTGCCAAGAAAACCTCAAATGAGGTCATAAAAGAGTTGGACACAACTGAAAACTGACTTAACAACCACCATCTCTCTCCAGAATGCCCTCTCCTCTACCTTCTCTACAGGGTTAAGTAACTTGTACTGACTCCAGGCCCAGTCCTCTATGCACTGCGCCACATAGCTGCCCAGGAGAGAGATTACAAAGGTAAAATTGATAAGCTTTGGCAGCAGGTTGGATGTAGGGAGTGAGAAAGTGAGGAGTTAGAGTCGCACCTAGATTGTGAACCTGGGTGATTTGGAGGATGGTGGTGTCCTTGACAGTAATAGGGAAGTGGTGAAGAAGGGAAGGTTTAGAGGAAAAGCTAATGAGTTAAATTTTAGATATATTGAGTTTAAGATGTTTATAAAAGGCCATCCAGTTCAAGATGTCCAGTAGGCAGTTGGAGATGTGAGTTTGATGTCAGCAGAGATAAGTAGGTTGTAGAATAATCAGCATAGACATGATAATTGAGCCCATGGGAGCTGACAAGGTCAGTGAGGGAAATAGTATAAAGGGAGAAGATAAGAGGACTCAGCACAGACCTTCATGGTTAGAAGGCATGACTTGGACGAACATACAGGGAAGGAGACCAAGGAGTGGTCAGATAGGTTGGGGGAGAACCAAGTGAGATTAGTGTCAGGAAAAGTAGAGAGAATTGGGTTTCAAGAAAAGGCTGGTTGACAGTGTCCGAGGCTACTGACAGGTCAGGAAGGATGAAAACTGAGAAAGGACGATTAGATTTGGCAATTAGGATGTTGTTAGTAACTGGATAAAGCAATTTCAGTTGAATGATGAGTTTGGAAACCAGATAGAGTAAAAAGAGAGTGAGAGGAGAAGTGCATGCATTTGTAGATAGCCTTCTCAAAGAGTTAGTCAAGAAAGGGAGGTGAGATAGAGAATAATATCCGGAATGTATGGATTAAGTGAGAGTTTGTCTGAGAATGTAGGCAGTAGGGAAACCAGTCTGTGGTCAGGGAGAAACTGAAGATGAGATGAGAGTAGGGATAGTAGAAGAGGTAATCTATTAGAAAGATCAAGGATAGAAATGGGATCACTTGTGCATGTTAGAGGAGTTTGCCTTGCCAAGAAGAAAACATCTTTTCATGTGAGAAAGGAATGAAGGAGGATATAGTGGCAGAAGATTTCTAGTTGATATGAAAGGAGAGGAGAAAAGGTGAATTGCCTCAAGTTTTTCAGTAAAATATGAAGCAAAGTTCTCAGCTGAAAGGTTGCAGGGAGTGGGAGCCATGGGAGGTTTCCATCTTTATGAGAAAGAAGTAAATAACAAAAAAGCAACCTGGTAGCAGAAACTTTTTTAGAAAAGCACAGTTCAAGTGCCCTGCTAGAATCTATCCTCATTCAACTCTATGTCCTGCCATATGGGTAATTTTAGGTTTCAAGAAAATGGCTGTAAAAAGTAGCTCATTTCTTGGGGGTTCAGCATAGCTGAAGTTTTACTGTATCTCAGCTAGATGAAGGCAGCAACTGAATTCCATAATAGCTATATATTCCAGTCCCATATACTCTCATAAATAGTTTGATTTCTTTACTACTGGTGACATACATAATTTTTACTCCCATTTTAGGTTCATCGTAAAATAACTTGGTGACACAGTTATTAATTTCTCTGACTACATTTCCCACTGTTTTCTGTTGTCTCTTCCTAGTATAGCACCATTGTAGTTGAATTCTTTACATATTGAAACTTTTGTTTTTAATGGAGCATACTACAAATGCCATAATGTGTAGAGAGTTAGCCATGGAGCCACGAAAATCTGGATTCATGTCCTGCTTTTGACAAATGCTACCTTGTGTTACCATGAACAAGTTGAGCCTTTCTTTGATGACTTGGGAATAAGCATCAGTCGTTGTACTGTGCTTCAGTAAAGTGGGCTACTGAGTGTGTGATAGCCAGGTGGTGAAGTAGATAGAGTGCCAGGTCTAGAGTCAGGAAGCCCTGAGTTCAAGTCGGGCCTCAGGTACTTACTGGCTGTCTGACCCTGGGAAAGTCACTTAACCCTGTTTGTCTCAATTCTTCATCTGTAAAAATAAGTGGGAGAAGGAAGTAGCAAACCACTCTAGCCTTTGCCAAGAAAAGTCCAAATAGGGTCACAAAGAGTGGGATCCTACTGAAGAACCACAGCTGGTTCTGTAGAATTATCACTGGCCCTCCTCCCAACCCCCAATATATGCACACACGTATACATTATAGAAATGTTTTATGGTTTGTGTGCTGTTATTGTGGCACGGTCATTCCCTTAGGCGTTATTAAACCTGGATGATTGTTTGTTTTTCCAGACTGAAGTGCTGTCCTGTAGAAGAGGCTCCTAATTAGCCTCTTCTCTCATACTGTTGACTTCTTTTATTGAGCTTTTATAGCTATTGCCACCCCATGAGAGTGATTGTTTCTTTCTGTTCTGTTAACCACACAGTTAAGGTGTATTGGGTATATTTGGTTCTTCCATTCTTCTTGGATAACTTTGTCATTATTAGTAGTTTAGAAATGGGACATTGCTTCACTGACAGGTAGGTTTTTAATTTATGTTCATTTTTCCTAGGACTTAGTATATGAATTTGTCATTTTAAATATTGGTAGTATCCAGAATCTGACCAGATCAGTGCCCCTATATCTTTCCCTTCTGTTTGTATTTTATGATTATTCAAGACTAAATTGTAGAAAAAGTATACCTTATAATAATTCAGGTTCATCATTAAAAACATCTATTATTTCACTATTCTGTATATGGCTAGGCCCCTAGGAATTACTTATTTTTGTGGGAATGTTTATCATTACATTACAAAGTTTCCTTTTGATTGATGTGCTTTTAATGTGGCATCTGGAAGTAGATGCTATTGATTAGTGTTTTTACTGCAGGATATTACTAAATATCACTTGTATTTGAAAGAAAGATGATTGCCCCTTACAGAAAAAATTTCTATTTAAAAGTAATGCTTCATTTGGGAGCAAGGTGTTATAATACACAGGGAAATACATTAGTGTGTGTAATTGAACAGTTCTTTAAAATGCTGCTTTTTTTTCCCCTTTCAGATATTGTGCATAACCGGATTGTTCACTTTATTTTGCTACATGAGGATGTTTCCCTTCAGTATTTTATTCCTGCCTTGTCATAAGAATTCAGCTGTTCGAGAGTTTTTGACAATCCAAAGACCTTTTCTTTCAAAATCGAAAAAAGATGATGGGTTGGTGTGTTGGAAGCCTTTGGGTTTATATGCTCACTATGGTTTACCTCATGTAAAAAGAACTTGTCCTTTTTTTTCTTTTGTAATATGTTCGTAGAATAGGCATTAGTGAAATGCAATTGGATAAGCTATGTCTTTGTTTTCTTGTGGTTTCTATATTTTACCTTTAAGAAATTGAGAGGGAAATTTATAATTTTCATTACTGAATTTCACTGTTTCTGATTGCTGATAAATGAACACTTTAACAAACATTACGCATATGTGTACATCAGAGGTTTCTGCATTATCCAAGCAGGCACTTTCTGAGATAGTCTTTCTGTAAGACATTCATCACTTCCTGAAGCAGGCATCCAGAAGGATATACAACTGTCTTTTTGTGGGAATTGTTGACTAGAAGGAAGAAAAAGTATTTCTTAAGTTTTTGCTGTGTCTGGAGTAAGGAAGGTGTTGCTAGGAATGATACTCTGGGTTACCATAAATAAGTAGTAGACTAATCATCAAAATACTCCTGAACCTGAGCCTGGTGGAGTTAATTCTCCAATCTAGGATTTTCACTTGAGAAGGCTCCCTCTTGTGTTTGACGGCTTAAATACGGGGAACATTTTTACATTAAGTTTTTAAAAAATTTCCTAAAGTAAATACCACAAAGGCTCCTTGAATCTTATATAAGTTATAAGGCTTCAGGAATGAATATGCAGTTTGTGGCATGAATTTTTTTTATTCATTATTTTTCTTTGGAAATCTATCCAATAATTCCAAAATGGTACCTAAGTTTACAAATTTAAGTTTTCTTTTTACATACCAAATTTACTACAGGTGCTGATTGGTAAGCTTTCTCGTTTTTACTCGAACATCATTCATTAAATTTCGCATTACACTTTAATTTCAGGGACTCTACTAAAATTGTGGATGATTTTAAGCAAGAAATAGAACATTACTCACCTATATTTATCTTTCACACCAACTTGAAGAATAAGGGGGGAAAAAGCGATTTAACTATCAAATGCAATATGTAAAAGATTTCAGCAGAAAATTAAAATATTCCATGCTCATTCTTTTCATATTATTTTACCAAATCTCAGCAGTATCTGTTAACATTTTACAGTACTTAATATTCTGTTAAACTAATACCTTGGAATTCAAAAAGATCTATTTATTCAGATTTTTTTTCCTTGCAGTTCTGTTATATATAGAAATCTAAAATACACTATAAAAATGCATCTGAAAGACTTTATAGACTTGTTGGCTTTTATCAAGAATTGTGTTTATAGATTTTATCAATCTCAGAAAGGTTTGTTTAAATCAGAATAAATAAAAGTAAAAGATATTTATAAAACTTTATTTTTTTTAAATAAAATTTTCCACTCAGATTGAATTTTTCTACTTAGTATTGCCTAAAATGTACTTTCCTTCCCCTTTAAACATAAAAATTTTGAACTGAGAGGTGAAATTTTGGAGCATCGTATGAAAGGTCTGGAAGAGAAATATTTTTAAAAATTTATTTATTTTTAGCTTTCAGTTTTCACTTCCATAAGATTTTGAGTTTCACATTTTCTCCTCATCTCTCCCCTCCCTCCACCCCAAGTCAGCATGCAGTCTGATATAGGCTCTACATATACATTCATATTGACCTATTTTCACATTAGTCATGTTGTAAAGAAGAATTAGAATCAATGGGAGAAACCGTGAGAAGGAAGAAACAACAAAAAAAAGAGGTCAAATAATGTGCTTCACTCTGCATTCAGACTCAAAAGTTCTTTTTCTGGATATGGACAGCATTTTCCATCATGAGTCCTTTGGAGTTGTCTTGGATCCTTGCATTGCTAAGAAGAGATGAGTCTATCAAAGTTAGTCTTTGCACATTGTGGCTGTTACTCTGTACATTGTTCTCCTGGTTCTGCTCGCTTCACTCTGTATCAGTTTATGTAAGTCTTTCCAGGTTTTTCTGAAGTCTGCCAGCCCATCATTTCTTGTTTTGGTTTTTGTTTGTTTGATTTTTTGGTGAGGCAACTGGGGTTAAGCGACTTGACCAGGGTTACACAGCTGGTAAGTATCAACTGTCTGGTCTGAGATTGGATTTGAACTCAGATCCTCCTGACTCCAGGGCAGTGCTTTATCCACTGCATTGCCTAGCTGCCCCCATCATTTCTTATAGCACAATAGTATTCCATTACATTCATATACCACAACTTGTTCAGCCATTCCCCAACTAATGGGCATCTCCTTAATTTCCAATTCTTTGCCATCACAAAAAAGAACTGCTATAAATATGTTTGTACATGTGGGTCCTTTTCCCATTTGTATGATCCCTTTGGCATAAAGACCTAGAAGTGGTATTGCAGGGTCAAAGGGGTATGCACATTTTTATAGCCCTTTGGGCACAGTTCCAAAATGCTCTCCGGAATGGTTGGATCATTTCACAACTCCACCAACAATGCATTAGTGTTCCAATTTTCTCACATCTCCAGCACTTAGCATCTTCCTGCTTTGTCATGTTAACCAGTCTGATACGTGTGATGTGGTACTTCAGAGTTGTTTTGATTGGCATTTCTCTATTCAATAGTGATTTACAGCAAGGAATGGAAATATTAAGTACAAAGAGACTTTATAGATTATAGAATTTTAGAGTTTGAAAGAACTTCATTCATTTAGTCTGACCCCTCCTTAGTTCAGCATGAGTATACTAACCCAGAGGGCCAAAGTAACTTGACCACAGTTACCCAACTTGTTAGTTAAAGTAGAGCTGAGACCAGAACCCAGATCTTGTAACTTGCAGTGACTGTCTCTTACGTATTTGTTTATAAACTTATTTCTTTGCATAATTTTTTGACTGCATTATAGAGATTCATATTTGCCATGATTTGGGGTGGGTTTTTTTCTTTGCTGCTTTAGGGACGTCCACCTTAAAAACAGTTAGCTAATTCTCAGCAATACAGTGATTTAAGACAATCCCAAAGGGCCAATGATGAAGCCTACCATCTGCCTCCAGAGAAAGAGCTGATACTGATTGAATACAGACTGAAACACAACTTTTCACTTTCTTGCATTTTTTTTTTGAGTCTTGTACAAAATGACTAATATGGAAATGTTTTACATGATTGCACACATATAACCTGTATCTGATTGTTTACTCTCTCAGGGAGGGATAGAATTTGGAACTCAAAACTTTAAATAAAAATGTTAAAGAATTAAGAAAAAGGTGTTGTAGATATCCTAGCTTTCACTTTTGCCTGTGGAAGTAAAACGAATGTGTCCTTGCCAAAAGAATCCCAGAAAACTAAAAAACAATTAGCTAGTCTCGAAGAGTAGATTTTGATGGGACTGCTGCCTCCCACTCACTTGGGCTTGAAATCAGAATCATCTTTGATTGTTCTCTGTAGTTGACCCTTAACATTTTATCATCGTAAGTCCTCTCAATTCTGCTTCCACAGATCTTTCACGTTTACCTTTTCTACTCTCACATGGCCACAACTCCATTTCAGGCCCTCATCATTCTTTTTTTTTTTTTTTAATAAGGCTATTGGGGGTAAGTGACTTGCCCGGGGTCACACAGCTAGTGTCAAATGTTTGGCGGGATTTGAACTCAGGTCCTCCTGACTTCAGAGCTGGTGCTCTATCCACTGCACCACCCAGCTGCCCCTGGTCCTCATCACTCTTGCTGGACTACTGTAATCATCTTCTAACTGCTCTCTTGGAACTGAACCCCTTTCCTTCCCAATCCATCCAAATGAGGCAGATTTTTTTTTTTTGCTCCGGTAAGTATTTTGCATCTATTAGACATTTTTTTTTTTAATTTTGAGTTCCAAATTCTTTTCCTCCCTCCAGCTCCTACCTCACCCATTGAGAAGTCAAGCAGTATGATACCCATTATATATGTGAAATAATGGAAAACATTTCCATATTAAATTAAAACTTGCAAAAAAAAGAAGAAAAATAAAGTGGAAAAAGATGCTTCAGTCTGCACTGAAGAGTTTTATAAGGTCTCTCTGTAGGTGCACAGCATTTTTCATCAGGAGTCCTTTGGAATTGTCAGTGGCACAATGATCTTAAGTCCCCTGACTACATTACTTCCCTTCTGAAAGGATTCCTTTGGATTCCCTAAGATATGAACTCCTTACCCTGCCATTTATGGGCCTTCACTATCTAGCCCCAGTTCCACACCTATTTCATATTTGTTTTCCTTCACACACTGGGGTGTTCTATGAACTAGTTGTTTCCTGAACTCAACGTACATTTGCCACACCTCCATGAATTTATTCCTTCATTTATGCTTTACTGCTTAGGTATCAGTTCTTCCATGAGTCCTGATTTTTCCCTCTACCCCTCCTCAAGTTTTCCCATAGTGTAGTGTTTGGATCACTCTTTTGCCCCCATCATACAATCATAGAATTACACATGTTACTTCAGGTAAACACTGTTAAATTCAACAAGCATCTGTACAGACCTAGGAACTGGGAATAACAAAAGTAAACCAGACCTACTGAGGGGTTGCAACATTGAAGGCACAAGTAAATATATTTTTCTATTCTCACCATCTAGTTTAGTGCCTTACATATTTTGTCCTAACCTCTGATTTCATCTGTGTAGTGAGGAAATGCACTTGACAACCAGTGGAAAGTTGAATGACTCCAAGGTCAGAAATGTCCAGTGTCAGAAATGAAACTTTAAACTAGGACTTCCTGCCTCCAAAACTGACATTTTGCAAAGTATCACAATGCTTCTCATCCACAACCTCTCAACTTGTGTAGGGTAGATAGTTAATAAACAGTGAATTGAATTGTCTCATTTTTTCTTAAGTATCATTTAAGGGTTATCCAGAGCATCCTCAGTTTTTCTTTTGGCTAGTTATTAGCTGTGTTGCCTTGACTTGCTAGAAGTAATTGTCTGTTCTTGACATCCACAGAAATGAAACAGGTATACTTAACTAAAATGAAACACCTACTTTCGTCTATTTTAAATTGCAATGTATAAATTATGGTACTTGTGTAAACATTGTATTTGAACAAGATACAATGCAGAAATGGAAATGGAAATTTCCTAAAACTATTATTTGTCATTTTTTATAGCAAATCAACAAAGTAGGAAAGGGAACTTGGGATTATTGTTATATCATTTTTTAAAGCTATGCTGTGTTTTGCATAGCATAGTGGAATAGCATTGCAAGTCAGTGAAGAGTTGAGTCAGAACTTAATTGTTTGAGTACTTTGCTACTGAGTTAAAAGGGACCTTTGAAAAGTGATTTAAGGTTGTGCTTGTCTTCAGAATTTTGATTAGCATTAATAATAGCAGCTCACATTTATATACCGAGGTTTTCAGAATGCCTTATTTCATTTGATCTTCACAATAACCCTTTCAGGTAGGGGTTAGTATCCTCATTTAACAGGTGAAGATGCTTGAGGCTCATTGTTTTACCCAGGCTCACATAACTGGTATCTGAACTGATATTTGAGCCCAAGTCTTCTTGCTACCAAGTCTAGGACTTATCCACTCTGTTATCTCAAGTGAAATGTTTGTAAATCACTTAGTACAATGCCTACTATATAGCAGACACATAATTACTTTTCTCTTCCTATAGGCCTTACTTTACAGATTCCAGATGCCATTAATGTATTTTTCTGTGAACCAATAAAACTGGAAATAATACATCCCCTTCCTTTAATCAGGTGGCTTGAGTAGGATGATTTAAGTAGGATGAAGGTCCCTTTCAACTCAAGGCTCTATGTAATTTAGATTTGTAAACAACAAAAGTTATTTTTCTGCTAATCCTATATATACCATGTTAGACCATAGCTAGCTTTTCTCTAGCTTTTATGATCAAATGCAGCAGCCAGATAATGGAAAGAAGAGTCTGAGTTTTAGTTCCAGGTCTGCCACTCAAAATTAGAGCAATCACAAAATCCAACCCCCTCCTTTTTACAACTCAGGAAACTGAAGTTTAAAAAGGTAAAGTGATAGCTAATAAAGGGCAGGTCCAGGCTTTGAATCCATGTTTTCAGACTCCCCATCATCCAGTACTCTTTTCGCAACACTTTTCTTACCAGCTTTGTGACCT